TTCAGGTTTGCAAAAAATAAAAATATCGGTTCAGTTTGAACCTCTAAAAACCGGTTTGAACGCTTTTGTATTCAACCTACATCCGAGTTATGTATATGGAAGAATTTTTTTTTATTTCATAATTAAAATAAAAAAACACATAAATCCTTTATTTTATTAATTGCACATTATAAAATAATGTTATTTATAAATATAACAAATAAATATCAATGATTAATTTTAATATGAACAATTATTTAAAATTTTTTACTAAGCCGCACAATTAATATATTTCAAAATTCGTCTCACTCAAATTACAGTTATAAGGAGATAATATAAATTTAATTGTTGAAAAGCATTTTTTTACGCTAACTTAGGTAGCCGGCACTGCCAGTATGATATCAGATTTGATGTATCATTATTAATACTATGGATTAAATTTTTCTCTAGGCATTTAATTTATAAGCTTAAAATTTAATAAATGTTTTAAAATGGCAATATACTAATGCTTATAAAAATTATGACTGACACTTATCAATTAAATTTGATTGATAATAATCTTTAAAACAATTAGAATATCATTAAAATTTTTGCAATATACTAGTAATAACTTACACATTATTTTATAAGCATAAAATTATAAGACTTGAACCGGTTCAGAGGCATTTTAGCGGTTCGGTTTAGGTTCGGCTAGAAATTTTTGTAGAGGTTTAGGTTCGGTTTAGGCTCGATAAAAATACCGGTTTTTAGCGGTTTAATGGTTCGGTTCGGTTTGGACACCTGTTTATAAGGGCCAAATTTAATGGGGGGGGGGGTAATATATTTATAGGCTTAAAGGGTGTATAAGTACCTACTCTGATGTTTCCCTAGTATTGTTTTAGGTCAATCGTATTGTATAAAATGATTGATTGTAGTTTTCCGAATGCGAATAAAAAACTGTTCCTTTAATCATGTTGCTTACAAAATATTTTTATTCTAAAATCAATTAATGTTATTTTTAAATGTAGTTAAAGTAGATATCTAGTTAACAATCGCCTAAGAATTTGGCAATAAATTTTCTCAAACGTAAAAGGTCCATTTTTAATATACATAAATAAATAGATACATACCCCACCAAATCATGCTCTGGCTTCTGATCTGCTATTTATCACATCCTGTAACGCGCAAATGTACATAAGTTAGTTTTAAAAAAAGCTCCCAGTCTGAACCCAGGTCGAAGCTCTTAGTGATCCTTCAATCAACGGGTCATATCACTCAAATAACCCGAATTAATTTATATAAATTATAACCATATGTTTAAGTGGTGATCCAAACAAAAATATGTAAAATATGGATTCGAACATAAGTGAACATAATGAATATACGCGATCGCGAATGTGTTTCTTATGGATAATATTTGCTTTGATAGATTCTACAATCTTTTAAACGTAATGAGAAGGTGTACCAATAAATCTTGCCACCGCAAAAAACGGGAAACTCCCCATAAATTGGTTATTTGATCTATAGACATTTGGTTTTCACCTGGACGCGGGAGTATTTTTTACGCCTTGGCCTTTTATTATATTATAGACCAATCATATTATGATTTGTATTACAAATATAATGTTTTCTTTCTTCGCGGGAATGATATGATATTAATAAAGCGTCTCCTCTTGCCATGAAGATCAAAAATCTGCATGTCCCGAAGCGCGGACCGAGCTATAAAAATTGGGGTAATCCGGACTATTTGTACAGAAAATTTTTTTGGACAGGGAAATTATACAAAAATATTTTTTCGAGCCGGGTCGAAATATTTTACAGATCGAGCAAATAAGAGCTAGGTCTAAAATCTTTCGAAATTTTTAACAACCAGTTTAGAAACCAAGTTGTGCTGAACTTTAATGGGGATATCTCATCCTGATAATTTATTCGATCATTATATCATATTTGAGATTCGATTATATTTTATTAAAAAGGGCAATATAAAAACAAATTCACAAATACGTCATTTCAAATTTTAAACCATAATTGTAATTAATAACAATTTTTTTTTAAAAAAATGATTAATTGTTTATAAGCATAAGCACTGCGCTAGGCGCACAATTAGATAATATTGATTTTTCTTCTCTAAAAATCAATGGCAGTCCAAAAAAATTTTTTAAATCTTTTATAAAATATTCGAAAAACAAAATATCGTCTACTTTTAGTATTGAGCAGACAGAATTAAGCTCAAATTAAAGTGAAAAAAAGTTGTCTAGATTATAGAAAATGAGTAAAAAAAATTATTCCCGTAATTTATAATATAAAAAATATATATAATACTAGAGCTTATCGCAGCAACGGCCCTGGAAAATAGATTTCCGGGTTAGGCAAGGCAAATTGTTTAAAATAGTTTTACGGGCCGAAAAAATGATTGCCGGTTGAACAACTTGTACAAAATATATTTAGGCCAAGCTGGTTAAAAATAATTACAAGTCAGGCCGAAACCTCCGATTGGAAATTTTCACGGACCAGGAGGGGCTGATCTCTACTAGAAACCCAACTTTTAACCGTAATGATAGCTAGATTCAAATTTATTTTAAATAATGAATTTTTGAAAGATGACGAAAAATGATCAAATTCGAAAAGTTTAACAACTTGGTTTAGAAATATTTCTAGTTCGTCATCAAGCTAAAGTAAAATGGAGTAAAAAAATCAAAACATGTGATCAAGTAATATTTGCATTTACAAATCAGCCTATTCGTAATTAAAAGGGAAATTTTGAAAACTTTTCTTACTTTTTTATTCCTCCAATGTGAGATTCACTAGTTTTGTCGTTTATGATGCAATTACATCATGCTCCTTTCTCTGTATTAGAGAGCCACGGGTACCCGTAAAAATGTTAAAAAGGTCGGGTTTGGAGAGGACAAAAATGGCGGGTAGTAAAACAGTATTACAAAATATTTGAGAGTTTGAAATTTATATTGTCAGTTTCTTTTAAACTTGCGAAATATTTTATAAATAACCTTGCTTTTGGCTGGATAAAAAGTTTTGGACATTAGAACGGTTACAAAACAGATAGTGCCAATTTTCTTTAATTTACTTGGGAAAGTGGAAAGTCTGGCCTTGGATTAGGACACTTTTAAAAAAAATGTTTATGCAATGGTCGAATCTTATTTTAACAATTTTAAGAATTCTTGATATGGAGAATTTTTGCCTACAGGGTTCAAATTTTTAGTCCGGATCAGATTTTCAAGTTTGTTTCCGAGGTTTTAATTGGCTATATTTTGTAAATGATTTTAAAGGAGAATTTAAAATATGAGGTTATTGAATGTTAAATGATCTATCAATCATAATTTTACAACTGGTAAATTATAATTGATACGATTTAAATAATTATATTAGGTTCTAATAGGTTGGTCTTGGTTTTTCATAATTTTTCCATTGATTCTAAAGCACCGTGCTGGCTCCAAGACTAAGATCATTCCAGAGCATTCTAGCTTTGAAACATTCGAGCATATAGGCGGCGTCCTGATACGACTTAATTTTGATACTTAATTGGTTTTTAAATATACTTTAAACAAGGACACACTATTTTAATTTTTTTAAGTATTTGGTATCATTGTTATTTTTCGTTCCTGGTCATAAGGACCCGAACAAAAATATCCGGGCCAAAAGAGATACCGGCCAAAAATATCACTTAGTCAATTTTTTAAATGGTAAGAAAAAAACATATATTTAAAAAAATTTAATTATTTACTTCTACACATAGGTGTCAATCTTCATTCAAAATATCTTTGGCTAAGATAATGCGCAGTCGCTCTGCACTATTTTAAAACACATTTTATAAAAAATAACGTAAGGCCTCTAAGAGGAAACTTAACGCTAAATTTTAAAAAAAACACAAAATTAGAGATTGAGCTTCGTTCAAGAAAAATTTGTGTTTTCTATTAAAATATTATTTTATAAAAAAAAATTTTTTTTAAACCGAATAGGAAAATTGAAAGATAAAAATTTATCTATTTTTAAATCTGTGATATACTTTAAATTTATATAAGTAGAAACAAATAAATAAATACCGGGTGTGATGATGTGGTTTTTGGAGAAGATATTATATAAATTAAAAATAGGTTAATAAAATAAAAATTTCAAATAATTTTTTAGGTCTGTCTATGTAATATTAATTTTTTTTATTTAACATAAAAACCCGTAATTTGGCCTCTATAAATGTTTTATAAAATAATTTGAATGTTTGTAAGAATTTAAGGAAATATATTTAACTTGTAATCGATTTTTTTCAAATAGGCATAATAGGGGAAATTTTCAAAAGATGTTTACTAAATTGATGACAGACCTTTTATGAATTTTTAATATTTAAAAAAAAATAAATTTGCATACCTTTTTATAAAGCGAAGGCGTCTGTAAATTAGTAATAATTGTAATATAAAATGTTTTATTTTTTTTTACCTTTTTAAAAAATATCTATTTCTTTTTTCCTAATTAATTTTCCATTCATGTTGCAAGATTATTTTCTCTTTATTAACTTATTCTCTTCTTTCATTCATTTATTTTTATTTCTTTTTTATATAAAAAAATATTTATAATATTATTTTTTTTCTTCTTCTTTTTTCTAGGAAAAAAAATGCGAAAATATTTTTGTTCAAAAAATAATATGAAAAATAATAAAAATGGCTGGCCGACTAGCTTATCGACATCGTCTGCGTCTGAATTTTTTTTTTAATTTTTTTTTTTTGAAAAATATAATAATTTTGCGTATAAAAAAATATATAAATATTTTTAAAAATAAAAATAATTAATGATATTTTTTTAAAAAAAAAGGAAAAAAGAGAGAATGTTCAACTTTTGAAAACAAAAATATAAATTTTTTTTCATTAAAATTATTTAATTTTTCTAATAAAAAAAATATATACAAAAAAGGGAAATATTTTATATAATAATATTGGCATACTAATTTAACTTGCAATCGAAAAATCTTATTTTTTTTAATATCAAATTTTTTTTTACATCTTAAAATATTTTATTTTAAAAAAATACATTGCCAGTGAAAATATTGATTTTGGGGGCGCAAAATTTAGAGAAATATCAAAATAAAAGAGATATGGAATATTAGGATTCTAAAAAATTGTATCTCACCTGTTTATAAGACGCTATAAATATGACGGAATTATTTTCTCGCTTCGTAGCCTATGTCAAAGATCTAGGGGTAAATTTTTTTATAGTAAATTATTTAAATTAAATTAGCATAATTTGTCTAAATTCAAATTTCATTAAGATTTTAATAATTTATTTAAAGATAGTTTTGGGATTAAAAAAAGCGGAAAATAGGTAAAATAAGTTAGCCATTAAAAAATATAAAATAATAATTACAAGTAAAAAGTAATTTGTTATTAGTAACATTGCAACTTCCCAAATGAAAAGCATGATTTTAGGAACAAAGTAACCATTTTTATCTAGTTAAGATTATAAAGTAAAAATTGGAACTTCAATAATTGGGCAAAATATATTTTCTTACCCTTTTATAGATATAGTTAAAATTTTAATCAGTAATAAGAGATAATTTTTTTTAAAAAAACTTTATTATCATGTGATTTAATTTGGTTGTTTGTTTAAAGTATTTTATATAGCATATGATTGATAGATGGTCTAATTTGAGCGCCATTGAGACCTAAAAACTAAATTATAAATTTGCTTAAGTTACAATGCCCATGCTATAAACAAAGGATATATAGTATAATGTGCACGGCCAGGCCCGGATCTTTTTAAAATATATTTATTTATTTATGATTTTTATAGCTAATGAAATATTTGGTTTTAAAATATATGGCCCGGATATTTTTTTTGGAAAAATTTCATGCCCGGCCCGGATATATTTAAAAAAATTATAATACGGCTCGTGTACCCGGGCCTGCAGGTCTCTGATGATAAGTGAACGCATGTATAAGCTCTGCTATTAAATTTAACAAAATTACTAGTATCGTCTCATCTGTTAAAAATCACTTTCCTTTAAAAAAAAATTATTTTTAATTATTAAAAAGAATTCGAAATGAATGAATTATTTTAATTGAAAAGTTATTATTTAAATCTTAAACTTATTAAATTAAATTTGTTTTAACATGACTACCTTTTAAAAACAAATTTTTATATTAATAATATTAAATATTGAAGAAAAAAACTTATTCCCATGCCAATAATATAAGTAGAATATGAACCATTTTCATTTAGACGACCGTCCATTTATTAGGGAAGGTACCATGCGATTTTTTTTGCAGTACACGTGTGATTTGAATATGATAGATTTAAATGAATGACAAAGAAGAGATAGAAATTATACAAATTGATTTTCAGCAGGGTTTGAACGAGGTATTTATACCCTCCGCGACCAAAAAATTGTTCCACTTTGGCTTTTAAACATATTTCGAATCGAGACATTTTCTGATTTTATTTCAGTAATTATACAGTTTTGAGCCAATTTTTTAAAATGGTCAATTTAATATTTTAGCCAGAAAAATATTGACTAAGTCTCAAGATTTCGCAAATAGATGTCTTAAACCTTTGTTGTACCACAAAAGAACAAAATCTTCAGACTTGCTAATAACCAAATTTTATTTTTAAAAACCTAAAAAAAATTAACTGAGGCTTGACGGATAGGAAGATAATTACCAAATACGTTGTTAATATTGGATGAGACTAACCCCTCATTCATAGTTAGAATAGATTCGCTGCGATTTATACACAATACATTTTTTTTCCATTCTCCGACATGAAAGTTAGCGCGAATTCACGGCTAAGTATACAAAATATTCTTTGTGTTTTTTTTTATTTACTTCAAATTTGCGCTAACTGTGAAAGCCTGGTCAGACAGACTAGTAAAAAAGGGATAAAATATTTTTTCAAAAATCAATTTTTAGTATCGAATTTTTTCAAGGTAATTTATATTTTTAGCCAACCACGAAATAATAATTTTTTATTCTATTATTATTATTTATTCTAATATTTCTTTCTTTATCCCAGCCAGCCAGACATTTATATTATATAAACAAACACACGCTTCACCAAATATTTTAAGACTATCATATATAATAACTTTAGGATAATAATGTCTCTCTCCTTTATCTATATCGATTTTCATAGTGTTTCCTTCCTTTTTTTGGTTTTTTTAAAAATAAATTGTAAATGAAAATTTTAAAAATTTAACTTTTTATATAGTAAATTTTTTGTGGTCAAAATATTTCTTTAAAATGAATGAAATATAACTCCCACCGTTTCAAATTGACCATAGGAAGTTGTCTTATGATACTTATTATAGGTTATAAGCTTAAAATCGAACCGGAGTGGAACGTTAACTAGCAGGAGAAGCGTGACCAAACCTAAACCATTATAATTTTAGCAACTGGAGCGGATTTTTCTTTCTTAAGATAGGCATTATAATAAGTGTGTCAACGTCATAAGAAAATACGGTTTGGTTTCCTCATTTAATTTGTTGATTTTAGTTAATAAAATGAGACTAGTGTTTGTATGACATTGTATGCTCTCAAGCTGGTAAAAATTTGAAATTGAATATTTTTATAATATAAATATGACCGTGCTGATATTAATGTTGGATCGGGCCGATATTTTTAAAATAACTGATCCGATATTTCAATTGTTTATATATTGTAATTATATTTATAATTAATATCTTTATTTTTATATAATTTCGTAATAATAAATTAATAATAGTTATTTGTAATGTTTAAAAAAATAGAATTATTTTAAGAGAGAGATACTAAAAATTTGAGCAACAAAAAATGGATTTTAAAATATCTAACAAGTCACATTAAGCTAGTTAAATGGCTCGATTTAGCCTACTCAAGACTTTTGCCGAAAGTTATCTATCCAAAAATTTTGCCCAGAGTTGGCAGAAGGGCTTGAAAATTTATTGTCGAAATTTCAAATAACAATAATTTGGCTAAAATCTTGATTAGTCACTTTTAAAAAATGGCAAAATCAATCTATTTTCAATACTACATTCAGCCTTAAACATTGTCCATATTTTAATGAGATAATTAACTTTTTGAGAGTAGAAAACAAAATGTGCTTTATAATTCTTTTGAATAGAAAATAATTAATTTTTAATGACATTGGTTAAATGGTAAATAAAATCAATTAAAATATCGGTTTTTTAGTAAGGAAATATTAGATCGGATAGATGAAAATTTTGTAGATCATCACAACGATTTTTAAACCTTGCAATATCTCATACCTTAAAATATTTGTCTAATTATACTTTGTAAGGAGGTTAATTTTATAAAATTATCGAGATAGATTGGGATTAGTAGTCTGCAATGGAAATTTTCCAGCCAGGCTAGGATTTAGTTTTTTCCTGCCCGGTTCCATTTTTTATATTAAGGTTACCCTACCTGGTCAGATTTTTTTAAAAGCCAGAATCCTACAGAAAAATAATCAATAACAAGATTTAGGTTTCATGATTTTTTTATTAAACAACAAACACAAAAAATATAGGAAAAGTAAATCGTATTTATGAATGAACCATCATAATCATTAAAATTATAAGCAAAGTAAAAAATATTATTTTAGCAAAATTAGCCTTAAGAATAATTTTCTATTCTCCTCTATTAATCGAGCCGAGCATCTATTTTTTGCGGCCCAAATAAAAATTTTCATGTAGATCTCTAATTGAAGGATCAACTAAATAAAACAAAGATAGGGTTAAAACCTTCTTTTCTTCAACATATTGAGAATTATATTTAACTTTTAAATAAGTGAAAATTACCATTTTTTATTAGCCGCCAGTCAGATAATTTTTGTCAAAACGGGGACTTTGTATTATTATTATAAAACTTTTTATACCATCATTTTTTTTTGTAAAATTTATTCGATATTTTCGTAAATCTGGTCTGGGGGTTTTTAGTAGTGTTAGTATAATTAAAAATTATATTTTTTTTTAAATGTGTGTCTATTTGATTTTCTGAATAGCTGTATTTAGACCTGAGCCCTCTAAATTTAATTTTCTCAATTCCTTCCCGATTTTTATTAAATTTTTTATAGAAAAATAAAATTAAATATGATATATCTTTAAATTATGTTAAATTGCTCTGCCCTAATCCAGAGAATTTTATATTCAATTCAAGTTATCCTTTTATGTTATAGGTCGGAGCCCAACTTGGTTACAAATTTTTTTAAAGTATTTTAGGGAATATTTATACGATTTGAGGTAGATTTCATGTCAAGCTTTGGATTACAAACTTGGGTTTATATCCAGCTTATATGATACTATTTAGATTAATTTTATATATAATTTAATAGGTGAAAACCAATTCTTATGAGGAATTTTAAATTTTGAATACAGGAGTCATAATTTTTAAAAAAATATATATTTAAGTCTGAACCCATATCTGATCACGTTCTTTCAGCTTATCCTAGTCAAGCTTCTTCCTCTATTGTAATTCCATTGAACCAAAAAAAGTTAGGACAAATTGTGCCGCAGGGCCAATCCAATTCCAACAAAATGTCGTTCGAAAATGATCACAATAATAATGATATATGGGCCAATATTGATTACCAATTCGAACTCCAAAACATTGACAGCGAATCAAATTCGACTGATAATCATGCCTCCGTTCCTCATTATATAAAGTGCGACTTTTTAAACAACGACCCAAAAAACGATATAAATTTAAGTGCCAGCAATGATCCATATAATTATTATTACAACGTCGCGAAATCTACTTCATCACCATTTAATGACAACCCGCGAAAATGGATTCACACCGAATCCCAAAACCAATATCGCTTAGACGCCAATAACCGATTGAAAGCGAAAACATCAGCTCAGATTTCGTGTAAAAATATCGCTAAAAATGAATCTACTGCTCCTATCCCGAGAATCATTGATGATTACAATAAAGGACTAGCGCGGGTCCCCTTTGGTGACGAGAAATTTAAAAAAGGGCCTACCATATTTTCCGACAGCGCTTCAAATAATCGTCCTCACAAACTCAAAAACAAAACCACCATGTCTGACCAAACGTTATCTATCGATAATAATACCAAACCCAGATCGGATGAACTATATCCGCGTGGAAAACCATTGGATAAATTTTACAAACCCCATTTCCGTCCTATTAAATCTATTGCTAGACCGGACGGAGAGGAACTTTATTTTCCCCATCTGTTTCTCAAAGAAGCTGCCGCTCAAAAATGTAAAGCAAATTATTGCGACGATTTCGAGGACGCCTACTATGAAGGTTTATCTTGAGATAAATGTTTACTAAATTTATTTAAAAGGAATCCATGTTGTTTACATTCATAAATAATCTTATAAATGTTATTTATGAAGAAGCCAAAAGAACATACCTTAGACCGCCACCTAATAGAAATGTGAAAACATCGAATTACTGGGGCAACTACAATAGTGCAAGACAAATGTCAGTCTCTGATTGGTCAGGACCAGATTATGTTCATGGATGTGAAATAAGTGTGGTCCCTATTGCTCACGCGTCTTAAATCGAAAGGATTTTTTTAAATATAGAAATTAGATATTAATGTGAAATCTTTCTATTGATTCGTAAAAATATATATACTATTTGAATAAGCAATGTCTTATCTATGTTTAAATAATTCGATTATACACACCTAATATTGTTCAATAATTTTAACCCCCCCCCCTTCCTTCCCATCACAACTATAAACACTAATTATTAAAATTTTAATTAATACTAATCGCAGTAAAAAAAGGGTTCAAATTATATAGACTAGAAAAAAACAAGGTTAGACGTTAATAGTTCGAATAATATTTTGTTTTTTTTTATAAAATTCACCAAAGAGTTCAAACATTGATTATAATAAAACATATATATATATATTTTTAAAAAAATGATTCCTAATACTTAAATTTGTTTTTAACCATTTTGTTTTCCAGATAATAAACTAAGTAAAATTTATCATTTTTCATAGTACATCAAACTCCATTGTTTTAAAATAAAGCATATATTTTTATTTCTGAAACCTAAGCATTTAAATGATACATTATTATTTATATTACTTATAATATTTATACCTTTTGTATTTTTTTGAAGGTATTAATTACGTCATTTACGGTCATGATTAAAACAGACTGAAAATTTATACTTTTTCTCTTAGGTTTTTATTATTATTCATTTTGATATAGAAAATTAGGTTATTTGATAATGTAATTTTGTTTGTCCAAAATTTTATAAAGTATTATTTTCGAAATTTGTTCCCGCTAAACTTTTCCATCATTTATATTTCCCCAAAACAACATTGTGATTTGAATAAGAGAAGAAAAATTTTGTTATGCTCAATATTTTAAATAATTATTATTTATATTTTCATATTGATGATAAAAAAAGAAGAATATTTATGAATGAATGACATTCTAAACTTTCGTTAGTTAAAAAATAAGTCACATTAATGTATTTAATATAAATTAATAATAATAAAAAATTTACCCAATGCATAAAATAATTCACAATATATTAATAAATATTCCTTTTTTTATATTATATGTTTAAAAAAATAATAATGTCCAAATTGCAATATTTTTTGTCACATTTGTAATAAAATTTAAAATCTGTGATTTACAACAAAAAAAAATATTTAGTTTCCAATTTGTTATTTTTTTAAAAAAAAATATTATAATAAAAATAATATATTATTTATTTTGTTTTTAAATGATTCATGAAATATCGAATAAAATTTCAAACTTTTATTGGAAATCTAAGCGATTTTTTGCCACTCTTTTTGGCGGATTTATTTTGGATTTTATGTTTTAAAATTTTCCCGATTTCTGATTGAACTCTTGGGATTATTTTATTCACTTAATTCGATAATAGAAAGATTATTAAAATTTTAGCGCCCTCTATATTATTAAATGGTATTTGTTTTAAGAACCATATTATGTTTAAATATATTTATTGAAAACTGATGTTTATGTTATCACAATATTAACTATTATTTTTATAAAAATACGTTAATTAATTATGACATTGTGTATTCGTTTTATCCATTAGCTATAGATTAGATAGATAGATTATAAAAAAAATTGGAAAATTTATAAAATAAAAATTCCCAATGATTACTTGTTTGGATTCAGTTAATTTATTTAAAAACAGGCGCGTATTTATAAATGGGTGTTTTAACTGCCCTGCTATATTTAATGGGGGCGTAACAGTTACCCGCGCCGCGGGCCCTAGTTAAATTTTGGAAGTGAAGAAAGACTCCAGGATTTTAACCTTACGATTCTGATATTCATTAAGTTATTTCATAGTTTTACTCCTAAGATTATCATTAATAATTTTTAAGGTGAGTTGCATTTTACTAATTCGTTTATACAAAATTTCTCATCCACTAAGAATTTTATAACGATCGAAATCGTGTTGGTCAATTTCGGATCTAGATCTTAAAAATTATCTCGGATCTCCAAAAAAATTAAATAAACCAAAAGTTTTAATATCATCCTTTATGCGCGGCAAGTAATTTTTTAAATTAGCTCACTAATATTTTTGACAAATACCGGTACATTACTTTTAAAAGTAGAGGTTAGGAACAAACGATGGTGGCAACCCTTATTTCAAGCGAAATTTATATAACAGATTTATGACAATATTAGTATAGACTTAAAATGACGCTAACTTATTTTAAGGAAATTTTTTATAATATAGTTTCTCAGACTAAATATCAATTTTAAATAATAAAATAATATTTTATCACGTATAAAAATAATCGATAATATTCATATGCTGATTTAGTGTCTACAAATTAACTTTTAGATAAAAGTGAAGACCGGGGACAGGCTTTACTCAGGTGTGTATAAGTCATTTTTAAATAGACCTTTATTTTTAATTTTAAAAATTCAACTGAATCTGAAAGAACAACCAAGGCCACAAGTTATGATAAGACTACGGTTTACAAATATAAAGATCTTTTTTTGTTAATTACATTACATGATAGCTTGAAGAACAGATTTTTGATAAAATTTACCTAAAAATGCCAAAATCTTTTGTATTTTCATGCATAAATTTTTTTTATAAAAAATCTTTTAAGTGACAGAAATTACCTGGTGATATATATTTTAATACGATTAGTTGTGAAACATATTTTAAAAACTTTCTTATAAATTTGCTTTAATTCTAAAAATATAACACTATCCTGGCAGCTATGTTAAAGGACTCGTGTTAGCTGATTTTAAATTAAGATTTTAACCGGAATCATTACGCAAGCCTCGAGATTTCGTAAATAAATATCCAAATCTCGCAGCCTTCTATGAGCAAATTCTCCAGGCTTGCTTAATATTTTTGGTGAGAATATTGAGTTAGCCGTTTTTATAAAATCTAACCATTTATCAACATTATTGGCAAAACCTATTTCATGTCGAGCTATTATTTAATTTCGATTTTTAATTAAAATTAGCAATCTATCTTTTATAATATTAACTCCTTTATTTTTGTAAATTTTATCTTCATACTTTAATATATTTAAATTTTTTGAATTTATCTGCAACAATATTAAAAATGATAATAAGAACCATAAGTGTCACCAAACTCTACGATATTTGTCGAGTATCATCTAATTCAGTTAGTATCGCTAAATTTTTAAACAGATCAAAAATCGAGAAGAGTTTTTTAAGGGAGTCAGGTAGTGTTGTTAAACTGCCCGATTAAGATTTTAGCAAAAATAATATTTCTTAAGCCTCGATATTTGGTAAATAGAAGTTCAAATTTTTCTGCCATCTATGTGCAAAATATCCAGGACATAATATTATTTTGGCTAAAATCGAAATCAGGCCGTTTTTAAAAATCTACCCAAATTGGGTCGTTTAACAACACTAGAGTCAGGATTTCCAAAATTTTTAGAGGCTTGAAAATCTCACCACGTCATTGATCTAATTTAATTAAGCGATAATATATTAAAGACAAAACTGAGTAGGTGATCACCCAATAAACTTTCCTATTTTTTTTCTTTTTTTTTAAATAATTGTGGTTTATTTTTTATATTACAGTGATAATTAAATCAATTTTTTGGCCTTCCCGAACCGAACTTCTTATTAAATTAACATTTCAACCAAGCGGATCTAAAAAAGATCATGCGGGACCTATACAGCACTTCTGAGATTTTTCTTGATCTGACAAGGGCTATAAGAATAGGTTCGGGTTCTTTGGAAAGTTAAACTTAAAAGGAAATTATAAAATTATTCAACATTATTCTCTTCAAATTACAAATTAAGGATTGACTTTAAATTTTTTTAGTTCCCTTTTTCTGGCTTTCAAACTTATTTTTATCTGTATTTTCTGAAATATTTCCAAAACCATTAACCGTTGGCAAACTAGTGTTGTTAAACGGCTCGTTTTGAGCCGATTTTTAAAAACGGCTAACTCAATATTTCGTCCAGAATAGTATTACGCAAGCCTGAAGATTTTGTTTATAGAAGGAACAAAGGTTTGGACATCTATTAGCGAAATCTCGAGGCTTAGAAAATATTTTCCTGGCTAATATATTGAATTAGCCGTTTTTAAAAATCGGCTCAAAACGAGCCGATTAATTACTAATTCCAACTATCAACTATATACCATTATTAATAAATAAAATTTCAAAAATAACATTTTAATTCTGTCAGCGTCTCTGCGGATTTGCTAAAGCTATCAAAACATAAATTTTAAATAGAAAACAATGTCACTAATACATATCCACCTTTTTTAAATTACAATTTACCTTTTCAGATTAGCTTTTCAATAAGCGTAACCATGATTTTGTCAAAATGGAGGAAAAATGCTATTAGGTAAGTTCCGCCATAAATTTTATTCGGGGCTTTAGATCCACTTATTGTAGACCTTTGTAGATTTTAATAAAAAGATAATTTTGGGTTTTCACTTTTTTCAAAATGTTTCTTTTTCCTAAAAAATTTGAATTATAGTCATTATCTATCCCCTCTATATTGGTTACGCGCCTCTCTCATGTATATTTTAATGTAAAAAAAAATAACGAAAGCTTTATTTAAGGAGGAATAAATTTTAATTTAAAAGTTGTCATAATATTTCTAATAAAAATATACTTTTTTAAGTAAGTTTTATGGTTAGCTTTGGTTTCATATTGTTTTTATTATTAGAAGGTCGTAAATTTTCATTTTCGAAATTATGAATAAATTACAGAATAATAATAGATAATAAAAACTTCTTGAAACATGGTGGTGATGTAATGCTCATTCACTTTTGGGGTAAAATGATATTTATTTATTTTTACTTTTAGACTTTTAGCCAAAATTTAGATTTAGCCTTATAAATTTAAAAATAAATAAAAATAAAACAATTATAATAATTATAATTTTTTAAACAAAAATATAAATTATATTTATAAAAATTACAATAATGTTAGCGTGCCCCCTCCCACCTTCCCATAAAAAAGAATATTGTAATTTAAAAAACATAATTACAAATCAAATATAATAAGTAATTTATGTAAATTTTTGGTTCATTTTATATTTTGAAGAGGAAAAAAAAATTTCTTTGATTGGATAATTGTATAATATATTACATTTTAGTCTGGTATTAAAAATATATATTTTTTAAAACTGCTAGTATTTAGTAGTAAAACAATCTGAAAAATAATTTCCTCATCATCTTCTAGGTATAGAACTAAAAATAAAACGCTTTTTAGAAAAACCAATAAATGATTAATTTTAGAGTTAAACAAAATGCAATTGCAGACACTAAGTATAATAAAATTTAAGTTATTGGTTGATTTATTGATTTTAGGCGGTCCAAAATCTTTTTAAAAAATGCGAAAAGTTTTAAAATTTACAGTAGTTTTAAAATTTTTATGAAATCATAGTTTCTAGAATTATATTTTGGACATGCTTATATTTTTATATTTTAAAAAAACTTTATTTCACTTCGATAAAGTTTCAAAAATTTGAGAATCAAGTTTTTTGGTATTTTGGACACCTTGATTATTTTTAAAAAAATCTTTTCGTTCCATGTTCATGCTTTAGCTTTGAAGGTCATAAAACGTCGGGTTATTTTTCAGAATAGGCTCGGAAAAAATTTAAATATTTTGTCCGACTAACCTGATTAATTCCTAAATGTCTAAATCCGATCTATAAAGATTCAAATTAAAATAATGTTCGAGTCCGATCCAGAAATTTTTTATTTGAAGAAGTTATAAAATTATTTTACGATTTATGAATTTTTCGAGGAAGTGAATATTTTGATAAACCCTGGAGGAAAATAAGAATTTTTTGAAAAAATAGAATCTTGGTCTTGATTCATAATTCAGTGCCTGGCATGACATAAGACATTTTTTTGGTCTATTTTGAAATATTTCTCTTAATATAAAACATGCCCAAAATCTTCCAATAAATTTTTTTTAAAGTTTTGTAATATTGAAATTTATAATTACTACCAAATTATTTTTATATTTCCCATTAAATTTAAATACTTCCCATTTTGATTAAATAATTGCCCCTTTTATTCTAATTTAAAAAAGT